CAACGCCGCAACCGATTCCAATTTTTTCAACAGCGATGTGAGGGTAAACAATACTGAGTGTTCTATTCAAAAAAAGTCGTCTCCGAGTCGTCCCGCTTTTATAAAACACCCAGTAATGTTGAAAATATTCAAAGTTTTCTCTATAGGTTATGGCTATCGAGATATCAAAGAATTACGCACTAAAATGGACACACTGTATATCGACGCAAACATTTCATATAATTCCAAATGTATATAGTTATTGCAAATTATAAATGATTTCCATGCGGCTGCGCAAACATATTGTGTGCATTCTATAGTCGCGAGATGTTATCATGATCACAATATTATTTCTTTCTCGGGTCGCCAAAAATCTTTCTGCAGCCTTGGTAAATATTTAGCTATTCAACATCAACGAAGGAAGATATATATTGAAAGAGGACCTGATAAGCAAAAATGAATACTATGCATCAGCAAGACGATTATTCAGCTGAGGTTCACCTGGTGCATGATAAAATAATAAATAACGTAGTTTCGAGTTGTAATGAGTTTTATTTTAGTCCATATCAAAAGCTACATGTGTTTTATGTAAATATACTAATATGGTCTGAATAACTTTGGTAATATACAAAATCAAATAATAAAACTTAGAGTTTTCTTGCTAAGAAACTAATAGTACAGGTTGTAACAATATAGACTATACTAAATACTGCATCTTGGATTTGCCTTTCTTACATAATCAAGAATGGAACATTGCTTTGAAACAATATAGTGTTTCAAATCACTCACTCTTTTTGTAACTATCTCAATCATGAAAGGCATTTGCTAATAATTAATCACTCAGTCTCAACATTTAAGTACTGACATTGCTAATGATAAGATAACTAGAATTTTAAATATACAAAGTAACACATTTTTTTACAAAACCCAAAAGCACAGCTTGGGCTGAAGCTTTGGTAACACACATTCATTATACATTCAAGGCTATACATTCAACTATTTTCTGCTAGGCAAACAGGGATAAAAGCTACCAAGAATTGTCATGACTTATTCCAAAAAATGTATGTAAGATGGTTATAAATGCTTGGTATAAGAAGAAGAGTAATTCATTTTTCCTGATAAGCAAATCTTGAGCAGTGAGAACAATAACGTTTGAGTCTCTGATTTAAGCATATCAAATCAGGTTGTTATAAATTCAAGCACCTGCATGAAGGTCTCAGAAACGGTAAGAGGTTTGAAAGTAGTTTGAGTCAAGGCAAATTGGATTGCTTAGGAGAATTCAATATATCTCTTACAGTATCCAAAATTCTCATGTGTACGTATATCTACCTACAAGAATTCACAACACAATAATTGAAACACATCATATATGGAAATTGATCTTATGAACCAATATGAAACTAAATTTCAACACCTGCGATTTTATCTACCAGCAGTACCAAAATTATCTCGATTCCTGTGTAAGTGAATAGTATTCCTCATTTTTATATAAAATCAAGAACCTTGGGAAACAGAAATGAAATGCTATATATTTTGATGCCATTATAATTCTGGAACCTTAGAAAGGCCACTTACTCTTACTGTGTATTTCATTTCTTCTCTGAATTCACACTTTTTACTCTCAATTCGGACTATATTTCATGAATTGAGACTTTTCTCTCTGAATTCACCACTTTTTTTGATTCCTGACTTTTTGTATGTATTTGTAGGTGTATACAGGGTGTTCCAAGAATACACGGCAGAAAATCACGAGTGTGTATTCCTTGCAAAAGGAATGGATAACAATTGGAAGCTGTAATGGAATGATCATGTAAATATTTATAATTCTTGTGCATTCTTGACTAACTTTACATTCATATAATATTACACCCGCGTCAATAACTGCGAACGATATCAGTAGAGATATTTTTCTGGAATCGACGAATTATCATTCGGAATTATAAAGAACTTGTTGATACCACATTCATGCCAGAAATTACTATATGAATAAACAAAATCTCTCTTCCCCAAATGACGTTGAGATTCGCTTTCCAATGACACTCAACAGGCAGAACAGGTGTATTTTCTCTGACAGAGAAAGTACTGCCTAGGCAAAAAAAGTTCGTTCAAAAATCAAAATTGACAGTAAATTTGGTTGAACCCAAAATGATGGATTATTTGGACTTTGCGTGAAATTGAAACGAATTCGAAGAAAAAAAACATGTTTCACATGACAAAAAAGTAGATTTAATGCCCAGTGAAACAGAGTGACTGTTGTTCAAAATTCATGTCGAAAACACTACATTTAGCGACAGTTATCACACAAACTGTATCTCTGAAGTTGCACCTTGTGAAGGAAACAAATCGTTTTCCTTTATTTTTTATGCATAGGAATAGGTGCTTGTAATTTTCTGCCGTGTATTTTTGGAATACTCTGTATACACAATCGTATTCAATAAAAGTCTGCTTCAAGAGAATAAATCCAAATTCAGACATTCACTGATTTTAAACCCTCCTAGCATCCATAGTATGTATTGTATAGGTATAGAAATCTGCCTCAACAATATGACGTATGGCTAATAATATGGTATGAATATTAGTCGAAAATATCGACTCTTGAATAAATTGAAAAAATATATCAGAGATGTGCTTGTAGAAAAAAGTGATGATTATTATTTGATGAACTTGGGTAGGCTATACGCAAAATCTCTGGGGTAACTGTATTTGAATAGATTTGTTCATTGGGTAGGTATAGGTAGAACAGATGCACATCAGCCACACCCCGGTGACGAAACTTCAAAGATTCAAGAATTATATGACTATATTAACCAAATAGAATTCTTTCAAATCAACTATGGACGAATTTTTTCAATTCTTCTCTACTATTCAGCTATATATTTTTCCATTTTTTTGTCGAATGAACACAGTTTCGGGTGAATAAAACTAGTTACAAGTCCAGTAGCTGGAAAAATATTTCAGTATAAAGAATCATTTTCTCTTTCTCTATAGACCAGCTACCAAAATTCACTATATGTATGTTTGGTATACTCAGATGAAAAGTAATAGTCCCAGTCTAGCCAGTGATCGGCAGGCTTACAGTATGTTAGCAAACTTCATATTGATATTCATTGATATTCATATTCGTAGGTCAAATGGAGATTCAATATTCCTGTCGACGGTTCCTAAGGGCGTATACAGAGGTCGAAAAACGTCAAAAAAAAGTCTTCAAAAACATGATCGCAGCATGTCTCCCCTTCCAATATCTTGAAATTGATGATTTTTTCCATCAAAAAGTTCGAGGGCAGACACTTATTTCGGTTCCAATTATAGTATTTCAAAACTTCAAAAATGTCATAACCATTCACGTTATTTCAGCAAATCTGAAATTTATATATGTTATTCATCTTGATATTTTACATATACATTTGTAGAAGCAGGCACGTAGGTCGGTACCATCATGTGGGCAGACGATATAATGCTTTCTCTGTCGTACTAATGAAGTTGTATGACTCGCCCACTCTTACAGGGAATGAGAGCGAATCAGTGTCATACAATGATGTGAATAATGTTCATAAATGTTAAATTTTGTCATTATTATTTCAACTAATGAAGATATAATATCTACTGAAGAAATATACACCGTGTCCCAGCTAAAATGTCCGTCCCCCTGTAACAAATCAACAGCATAATCAAGGATACTTGACGATGATTACACGAAATTATGCTATTGAATGATTCGTATTCATACAGGATCACACCTATGACAATAATTCGACAGTAAATGTTTCTGGGGCTACTTGAAACAACAGGTTTATGAGTCGCCGATTGTGAATATGAAGAAATGAAAAAGGAAATCACGAATTTGTATTCAATTTGATCATTTAATTTTTTGCCATATCTTCGTAGTCATTTGAAAACATTCCATCAAACTAGATATTGTTGGATGCCTAATAATTAGCCCTAATTGAATATAAAATGATATACTGAGTGTCCCTATTCGAATAAGAAAGTTAAGGTGCACTTCGGTGTGTAGCATAATTTCGGGTAAGCATCTTCAAGTATACTGGAAGACCAAATTTCTAGTCATTCGATCGCGTGATTGATTTTGTACAAGGAGGAACATTTTAGCTGAGACCCTGTGTATATTTCTTCAGAAGATTTTATATATTCATTATTTGAAATAAGAATGACAAATTTTAACATTTATGAACATTATTCACAACATTGTTTGACACTGAGTCGCTCTCATTCCCTGTAAGAGTGAGCGAATAAATATCATCTGCTTTATAGTTTATAACGTGGATGTTTATGAAATTTTCGAAGTTTTGAAATTCCATGGAACATATATACTTGGAAAGACTATATTAACCACAAGATATTTAATGGGCAGACATGCTGCGATCACGTTTTCGAATTTTTTTTCACATTCTTCGACCTCTGTATACGGCCAAAGGAACCGTCGACGGGAATATTGAATCCCCATTTCAACTACGGAAGATGGAATAGTATACCTAACATCAATAAGAAAGTTTGCTTACATACCATAAGTCTGCCGATGACTGGCTCTTAGACTATATAAAAATTGTTTCATATTGTCCAAGGAAAAGTGCGAGAGCATTGAAGCCTATAAATACTCTTTCCTTCAAATTTTCAGTACTAGTCATAGATCATTCATATTCCTCCTCACATTCATAAGCTACCAATAATTATTTGGCACTGTCAAGGTATTAAAAATACATATTTCGAAAATATCAGTACAGTTATTTCTGTCTTTGGATAAGATGACTACATAGATATAATTATATAAAATAGATTAGTAGTAAGAGAAGTAGTAAATAAATGATCGAATACTTGATTTTCACAGAACTTCCGAATTTGAAAAATAAATAAATATGAAGTGAAAAACCACTGAAAATTAACAAGTAAACTTTCTTCAGATACTATATCTGAATTTCTATTTACATAGTCGAAAGAATTGATATAACTGAATTTTATCAATAAAATAAATACATAGAAATGTTCATCATCATCACAATGACACTCTAAACTGCAGAGTGTTTTCCAATGATTTCCCCAGATTTTGAATGAACAAATCTTCCGTCGAATTCCACAGACATTTGCTTTTCTTCTCCCTTCAATGGCTCACGTTCCTCACTGTTGAAAAATATATTTCGGATTAGAATTGAATATTTATGATCCTTCTCAAACATGAATTACACAAACTGAATAGTTCAGCCAGAATATCATCGACATGCGCAAAAATTATCTTTGTGCTACATCAAATTTACTACCCTAGAGAAACAAGCATATCGATTGAAGATACCTTTGAGGTTCCTAGTTGCTTTCCACAGAAGTACCTACTGAAATTTATGCGGCTATTTCATTACAAAAATATGTCATTTTGTCAGTGGCCATAGACAAAGTAACAATGTGGCAAATCACATCTTCAACTTGGCTCTATCAATTTTATGGCAGGTATTCGGATTCTTCGCGAAATTTATTCTTCAAAGTTTATGTAATCAATTTTTTGTTGAATGGGATACATTAATAAGTGCCTCATCAATTTAAACAACAATCTGTTTAATGTGTAAGTATAAGAGCCTGAGCGATAGTCAGGGCTATTAACACGCATAGTGCCATAAAAGAAAGTTACGCCAGAAATACATACAACATGATATGCACGACGGTATAATTGATTTTCCATTGTGAATACTTACCTATTTATTTCTCAAGCACGATAGAAATACATCATGTTTGCAGTGGGGCTGTATATTCATTATCGTTGGCATAGTAACTCAGTCAACATTCCGACATAGGACTAAATATACATTTGCTGTCAGTTTATGTTATCGCAGATTAATCATTTTTAAATTGATCATAGAATTTTGAATCTGAGAAATATCAAGAAAAGTGTGATATTGAATAATGGAATCAACCATCACAATTTAAACATAGATAACCTAAATTATACAGGAATGCTTATTACGAGAAAAAATGTTTCTTTCAATATAGGGTGTCCAAAAATGCTTCCTAAAGGCAAACTACCACCAAACAGACACATCGAGTCGCTGTTTTGTTTCCGAAAATTGAAACTCCGACAAAACCGACAAGGTAGCAACAGTACAAAAAAAAAATCAGAAACGTTGTTGCAAATAAACGCACTCTATGCGAGTTCTAGTTTCATTCAAGTTTTCACTCATTTCCACTGGGCAGACTGTTCTGTGACAACATCTGCAGTGAAGATGATTTTGGCATCATGTCTTGTGGATTATTATGAATCATATTTCGGATGTAGTTGTGTTGAATAAGGAAGCTATGTTAGCTATGTCCTTGTATACGGAACCCTTTTTTACATTCGCTTCTTATATTCCATGTTTTTTATTGGGTTTCACAAATTAGCATGTTCGCGGTAACTTTCAAACAAAATGTCAACCTCTGTTCCATTCGAAATTATGTGTCACTTTGATCAGTTAAGTCACAGTGTTCGAAACGAAAGAATAAGGTGTAATATAAATATTCCAAGTGAATCGTTTTTTTTTCGTTAGTTCATCCGGATGCCAGACCCCATAGATCCCCCTATTAATTATGCTACTGACATTTGTGATAATATTGATGATCGTGGTGTTGAAAGCTTTGCTCATGAATCATTAGTTTATGACACTTACATCATCAGTAGGTCATGATTTTTCATTAATACAGATTCACGTAAATGAGTATATGTATCTGTCTGTATTTATACCTATATCACTACTTCAAAGTTGAGAACCAACTCCAAAGCAGTCGAAACTTGTGCAGGGTTAGGAAGAGAGGGACCGACAGCAAATAGTGGATTCTGAGCCACTTCTAGGGCATCAGCGAGGTGCTGTCAGGATCAGAAGCAAGAATACACAATTTTAAGCAATATTGCGCATAGACCGTTATGACGTAAAAACATGCCATCTTGTATGGAAGGGATTATTTCGAAAATATGCACAATTTTACACAAATCATTCAACGTTATTGAACTTTCTTGTTCCACTTTGTGACCTAAATTTAATCAAATTTCAGCAACACATTCTGCATGCATCAGCCAAAAACTTTTTACAGAAATAAGGTCCATTCCAAACATGACTCAATTCATTAATTTCGATAGGCGATAGAACAATGGAAAAGAAGTAGACTTTCATGGAAGAACTTTGGTTAAAAATACTTCCTAACAAAGATATGCAGGGTGTCAAAGTATTGGGCGAAAATTGGATTTCTCATTATAACTTCCAGACCACTCCACCGATTTCGATCGAATTCCGCACACAGACTAAAGTATCTGTAATATAATGTAATGTTATATCTCTGGGTAATGATATTGAAATCATTCGGGGAAACTCTTCAGTGGAATAGATAATGGGCTTCCCCCTCTCCTAATATTCGGTGTCACTGGATATTCCACAAAAAATATTCAATTTTTGAATTCCTTGTTCAATTTGAAGAATAAAAATACTTTGGCATTGGATTCCTTTCTCAATTTGCAGATTTTTTTTTATCTTATGGTTCCCATGAAAACGGATTCTGGAAGTTATATGCCTCGGGGAACACCTCCCTTGGCAATGTATTCCAGAGCCTCGCTGTTCGTTAGATGAACGAGTCTTTGGAAAGAGATGTTCTGCAGGTCTCCAAAGTGAATTTGAAAAGATGTGAAAAGGCTAAAACTTATAAACAACAATCTTTATGATGTATACATTACTGTGTTGATTTTGATGATTCCAAACCGAACGCGGCGTCGAGATCTCAATCAAGATATGAAAACTTTTCTTCAGAAAGCATTTTCAACCAAAGTTCTATTCCGTTGTTTTATCGCCTATCAAAATTAATGACGTTTAACCATGACCAGCCGGAATATCAAAATAAGAGTAGGAAGTAAAACCATTTTCTACAATTATTTTTCAGTTGGGAATCATGTATAATGTGAATTGAAATAAACAAAAAATATTGAATTTGCTACTTAATCATGCTGAAACATGCGACCATCAAGTATCTTACATAGGTGAAGAGGTCAGTTTGATTGGCTGTGGTAAGTTCAGGCTACTGGGATGTGCAGGAGCAGCTTTGTAACTGCAATAAGGCAGCGGAAAACGCCAACTGTATAAACTGAAATTCCCTTTTGGTATGTATATGTATGTTTGTGTTATGATACCAATGAAGTGTTAGAGAAGAAGCTATGTCGAAAAGCTGAATTAAATGTTATATACAGCAGGTTATATCGAAAATATTAATGAAATTGAAGTTTAGAAGCCAAGATCAATAGTGTGCAGGTGATAAAGATCAACTGACAGTATACATATAAGGATTCATAGATGTATAAATATTGTATTCATTGTATAAAATGCGAAGCATAAAATAAGTGTTGTGTAATGTTGCTTTGAACTGAATATAAATAAAAAATTTCAATGAATATTCTGCAGATTCAATGGTTTACATAATATGATCACTATTTATCTATGTTCATATTACTTTTATTGCTGTTTATATAAGATCAAGAATGATTTAGGTACACAAAATTATTGAAGGTCAATCAAAGTCAAGAAAAATATGAATCACACTCACACATAGTTCATACATATGTGTTTCAGATATAATAATGGATTTCCCACTCGCAAAGCTTTGAAACGAGCGCGTCATGTAGAATTATTATTTCAAAACTATCTCATTCAGATTGGTGCCATTTATAGTAAAAAGATGATAACACTCGTTTTGAAGAGACGAAGAAAGGTAATTTTTTCGCCTCTAGACCTAGATAGGTATATAAATTAGGTATATAAATTCGTGGGATATAGGACACAAGAAAATAACTATCTCAACTATGTGGATGTTACTGAAAACAATGTGAATAGTTATTTTGATTGGAATATAAAATGTATCGGTAATAATCTTAGACACATATTGTAATATAATTGATTCAAGTAACTTGATGATTCAAGTATCATAATATCTACAAAATATCCACCAAGTAAAAATTCATGAAACTTCAGTTCAAAACGATACAGGGTGTCCGCAATCTTATAGTATGGGCTATAATATCTCGAAATCTCCAAAAATGAACAAAATAAATTCTGAGGTAGGTCGGTTTTCTCCGATGTACTGAGAAATACATGTTTTATCTACTCTTATGGTGGCTATAGATGAGTACTATGAATCTTTTTCAGTAGGTAATCCTGATAAAGCAGAAACTGTTCAACGAAAAAGATATATTTTTCTCATTTCTCATTTTTCTCATATCATCTTCTATATTCTGAATGGAACATGCTTTATATTTTTCTATATTTGATTGAGAATTTTCAATATAAATAAAACGTTAACGGCTTTGATGGGAGCACGACAAAGGACTACGAAAATAAGACTTCTGTTCAACCCTGTAGCTTGATTATTTATATTATCATCGGAGTTTGGGTATGGAATTATTTTTAACTTTTCATTAGTGCCCTCTTCAAAAATCTAAGTTGATTTATGAAACCTTTTTTTTTTCATGATTCATCAAAGTACTGTAGTATAATCCACTTTGATTGAATGACCAATCATTCGATCTACGACTAGAAATAGTAGTTATCTTACTATTATATTATACATATATATTTGTTCCAATTCAGTACACCCCAGTAACTATCATGAATGAGATTTTCTGAACATATTAACTGATTTTGACTCAATCAAGTGATTTTTAATGTAGGTATATTATGTACACAGTCAAAAGGTTGAATCAGAAGTACTGTAGTATTTTAGAAGTCAATTCATTGCGAAGGTATGAATTGAGTGCCAAATAGTGTTAGGTAAAAGTATGGCATCAGGCAAATATCTCAAGAACCGTTGATTACATCATGTATTCAATTCGAGAATGGCATAGGTACCTACTCACTCTTAGCAATTTCTGCAACATTCACCGTTTATCTAAATCTCTCTTTTTTCCTTTTTCCTATCGTTCATAGATTTTCAATACGAATAAAACGATACCTGCCAAACCATCAGTTCCTATACATGATATAATAAGGAAGTTATTGTTAGTTTCAGGATAACTCATACTTTAACAAGTTAACAAATTTGCGGTAGACTCTTTCTATGTCAAAAAGAACTTGGAATATGAGGAAAATGAGGTGTCTACCTAAAACTTGAAGGGAGATTAGTCAGTTCAACCTTCTGAAACTTTGTCTTCTGTTGAAACGTAAATTTTTTAACAAGTACAGAAAAATGTCTCAAAATGTATCTGGTTCATCTGCAGTGATATCGGAGATTTTAGCCCATACAAAGACTTTCCAGACACCCAACAGTATGTTTTAGGTAAATCAAAGCTGAGAGCATTTTCCATAGGAATAAAATGATAGTTGCTTTACCTTCCCAATTTCGGATCTTCCTCATCGGCATGTTTGGTCCTTGCATTGCAACACATCGCTATTATTCCAAGACGATTCACGAAGTAACACGTGATATCCAGAACTATTAGCACCAAAATAATGGCGGCCACGACTATTCCAATAATGGTTGCACTACTCATTGCCGCAGTTTGGACAGGTACAATAGGGTCAATACCTAAAGGAGAGAAATATTTCAATGAAAATTGTAGTAGCAATGATGGAAAGGTTATTACATTCTGTTACGTAATTAGTTGAGAGTGTGATCGTATTTGATGTTGCAACTAGTATATTTGAAAGGTTTATTTCATCTTAAACTCACGTACACACACAAATGAATGTGCTTCAATAAAAATTATTGGTAAACACTATGAAAGTAGAAAGAAAATATGTTTGTATCAAACCCAATAAACTGTTGTTGAATTTCATGAAAACTAGATAATTACCGAGAAAAAAAGATAACTAGGCATTTCCTAGGTATGTGCAATAGCCATTAAATTATAATTGCATTGATAATATGGTTACGGTTACTTTTATACGCAATACGGGTATACAAGTTGAAAGATTTTTTAGTTGACGAATTCATGTAAGCATTTGCAACATCAAATTATAAAACAGTGTAATTGTAATATTATTTTTTTGGAAGAGTGTATAAAACATGTATTTTCCATTTACAAGCTTTCTATTCTATTCCACCAGAAATAATAGCATTTTTCAATATGTTAATTGCACTGCAATAATTCATGAATAACATATACAGGGCAAGTAAGATTTTTTCAGCAAATTCTCAAAACAGTCGACATATATATCATCAGTAATTGACTGTGATGGTAGGATAGGGAGGCATGTCACAAAATTCCTTCTCATAATCCTTCTCAAATATGAATATCACTCAAATATCCTGTTCAACTTATGTCATTTGGAACACCCGGAATAAGAAAATTGCTTAACCTTATATTCTAGGTATATGCAGATATCAACAGTTATTATATCACCGACACATATATGATTATTGTTTGTTTGTTTCTTCATGTCAAATATGATATTTTCGAAAATAAAGATCAAATATTTCAGAATGTTATTCTCTTGTATACAGGGTGGACCATTTTAATCTATTATGGATAATAGTTCTTTCCGGAAGCCGCTAACAAAAAAATGGTTTCAACAAAAGTTCAATGGAGGCCAAAGAATGACCCTGCTCACAACTCTCCCCGTCCCCCCCAGGGCCACCATACGGCCCTGGGAGATGAAATGTTTTTTTTTCAATGGGAACCTATTTTTTCACAACGGATTCTTGTTCTACAGAGAAAATCAAATTGAAAATGTCTAACAAATTCTTTTTTGGGCCCCTTGAAGGGCCCCAAATTCTCAATTTTGGTATTTGAGTTGCAATAAATTTTAGGCTCAGGTCAAACCTATGTTTTAAATATGATAACATAAGTGCAGTTCCAGCATATTACCGTGTTTTACAGCAAACCCTTAATCTGGTTAACGAATTATATGCCAATGAAGATTCTTTGTTTTCTTCAACTCAAATACCAAAATTAAAAATTTGGGGCCCTTCAACCGGCTTCCAGGAAGAACTATTATCCATAATAGATTTAAATGGTCCACCCTGTATATGACCTGCTATAAATGTATCGTTGTACATAACATATAGGCAATGAATATCTATATATTATCTATCTCATATAGTGACACATTTGGAGAGTTCGACAGTGAATTTTTTGCCAGTGAAAATTGGCTGAGAATGCTGATTTTTTTTTCATTAGTGAATCCACTATCTCTCCATAACTTTCAACTCGCAAGAATGAATCGAAGAGTACTCACTAAGGAAAATCGCTACAAATCTCGTCAGCAGATATTCCATATTGTTTATATACCCGCTCACAAAGATTGTACAGGATCATTGTGTGTTGCAGGTTACTTCTGGTGCGTCTGTGAATGTTGAATGATGATTTTTGGCAACTGGTTGGTGCGAAGCCACATGATAACATAATGGTCACAAATTACATTTATATATAGTGCCATTCATAAAGTTGCCATCATATGGAAAAAACTTCTAATAATAATTTGATTTGAGATTCTACTTGGGCGGTGTGTTTGCTTCAAGAAAGATGAAAAATAGCCTACTATATGTCGGAGTCACTTGACGTTTGACTACATGTCAAAAGTTAATTTTTTTTTAAATCAATCGCTAAAATTAGGCTTCTTTGTTCGTTTTTCAAAAAAGTTAACTAAGGAAACTTGTTGCTATTCCAAATTTACACATGTGTCACGAATTTGAACGATTTTTTGCAACTTTTAGTTCTTGATATTTTTTTATCTCTTTCAATTGTAACTTCGACAAAACTGTCCTAAACTTTGGTTAAATATGTAGTAGTAGTGTGATGGATGACTTTTGCATCATGTATGTACTGAAAAAATAATTCTGAATGAATTTCGATCCTGAATGATATAGATGATTATATGAATATTTTGGCCGATAATCAGTGATTGGAAGTTAGTAGCATGATAAAGCTACAAGAATGAAATAGTTATATGTATGTTGAGTTCTTTCAATAATACAGAAATTCAGTATAAATTGGAAAAATATCAAAATCTAAAAGTTGCAATAGAACGTTCAAATTCGAAACACATGTGTTAAACTGGAATACTTAGAAACAACTTTTCTTAGAAATTTTCCTCTAAATTCACACAAATGAGACTATGTTCTGCGATTGATTTCGAAAAAAAATTTACCAAATCATATTATTGTTGATGGTTTTTTTCAATCTCTTTAAATAGCGACGTTTCCACAGATTAGATAATTTTCTGACAACGCAAGTCTGAGAAAACATGACATAAACACCATCAAAAATCTGTTCACAATATTGGTTGTCATGCATATTCTAATGTTAAATTTCGGTTTTGTCGCTGGAAACAGGGCAAACTCACACCGGATCAAGCGACTATAAATAAATAAACTAAATAGTTTTCAGGAAAAAATAGATTGAATACTTGTAATGTTACGTGTTGACTGAAACAAGATCCACTTTGTGTATCTTACTGTTAATTTTGATTGATACAATGAATTTTCTTCGATCGTCTAGAGGGGGTAAGTATCCCCATTAATCCCCTTGTATACGCGTCTGCACGTTCCTTTGATTCAATGCCACTGGATTTTATTTTGGTATCATTCAAAAACATCATATATTTAGTTCAAACTACTTAATATGAATTCAATAAACTATAATAAAAAGGTACTACCATTTTGGTCAATTCATCAGAATCGGTATCCAGAACAACTAGAATCGATCAAGTACTGATGAAATATATAGACTGTTCTGTGTTTGAAATAGCAAAATTAGAACTAGTATATCCTGAAATATTTAAAACTTGATATCTTCAAAAAGCCGAAAAGTTATTGTTGCTATGGTATCTATCTTATCGATCTTCGAACTTCCTGTTGAATTATGAGCAAATCGATGTACTTACATTAATACTGAAAAATGCTATGGAATGATTGTCAATTTCTAGTGCCCATGTATTTTCGGAATATCTAGTTAAAAAATATATCGCTTTTCGTTCTATAATAACTATTTGATGATATCAGAAATGAAATAACATATTTTGAGACATTTTCATTCATTTTCCGTCATAGCACAGTGCATAAAAATGATATTAATATCTATCTACAATTGGAAGAAAAACTCCTGAAAATAATTAGTTTTCGAAGAATATTTGTGTATAAATTCTCCAAAGATGTCGTAATTTGGAAAAACTGTCATTAAAAAAGTTAATATCTATGCGGGTTGAATGAGAATAAGGCCATTTAAAAAACGTATAATTGAAAATTATGATGAGCAATTTCGTCCCATGATCAATAGTAATCGATATATTTTCATAAATAATACTGAGCACAATCATATTGATACTTTTAACGAAAATATATAGGCTATATCCAAAACATCCTATATCCTTAAACTGAACTATATAGAATCTAATACAGAACATGCTGGTTGGAAACCAAAACTGCATGTTGTTTACAGAAGAAAGGGGTTAATATTTCATACTCATCAGGAAAATTATAAAGTATAATAACAAACCCAAAGAAATGAACCACAGTTTCAATCCGTTTTTATTGTGTGAAATACCCATAAAATTCGATTATGGGTTCTAGTGTGTGTTAGTATTTACAAAGTCATTAATCTTCATGCTACAGGCAACTTCAGTAATAAAAAAGCTGGGATTAATGAGAGTTATTACTATTTACATGCTTCAAACTATAAACTATAAGTACTGAAAACCATCAGATATTCGAAAAAAAAACGACAATTCATATCAAGTACTAAATATGTTATTTTTTTTTCAAATATTTGATAGTTTGATCAAGCTACGTACACTTTTATGGTGAAATCCATCGTGTAGATTCAACATTGCCACTTCAAGCCACTTTTCAACACTTCACATTGTGAAAATTAAAATAAAACAACAACTCCAAGCATGAGTATGCTGGGTGGCTCATCGAAAACATTTTACCCAAGTTTTCTCCGTTGTGATGCAAATATTTAATGAAAAACTGCTCCGACAGGTCGATTTCCATTTGGCGGGGGACACATTCTTCTGTAATTATCATATCCCAAAGTTGTAACCTTGAAGCGGAACAGGTATCAACTTTCTATTTTCAAATGAATCACCCTGTATTTTATTCCATGATCGGTAAATGATTATGATTACTAATTCAACACTATCAAGTTTGATGGGGTTTTCTCAAACGGCCACGGAGATATAGCTGATTGATTTTTTATGAGTGGGACGCAGAGATCAGATCGAACTGGTAACTCCGTCAACGCAGACATTTCTCCCTCACACTCATGGAGCATGTTGAAAAATCGATCAGCTATATCTCCTTGTTTCCATTCAAAAATCGAAAGTTGATGCCTGTTTCGCTTCAAGGTTTCAACTTTGGGATATAATAATTACAGAAAAATGTGTCCTCTGCCAAATTAACCCTTAACTACCAACGTTCCAAATATACAGGGTGTAAATTTGAAAACTTCCAATGCGAATATCTCGCGAAAGAAAAAAGTTAGAAAAACGCCGTTTGGCAAAAATGCTAAAGAGTTCAGGGGAACTAGAACCACCATATTTCGGTCAAGGGATGAGTCACCCCGTCGGCACGACACACCCCAACTT